CAGAGCTCCAGCACACTCTGCCAATAAGTGGCAGACCCAGGGTTCCAGTCATGAACTCCACCAAGTCATGTTGGCACAAGGTCCTCTGAGTATTTTCTGGATTGGGCACAATCCTCTGAGCCTCTTGCCCCCAGGGAAGCAATACTCTGGTCTCCAGCTTTGATCTTTAACAAGATGTCAGTGCCAGACTCTGGTCTTGAGGATACAAAGCTGGCATCCCGCAGGCAGAAGTCCGTGGCAAGGGCCTCATCACAAAAACCGATCCTTGAGGTCCCCAGGCCCACATTGTCCCCAACCCAGGGAGGCCTAGACAGGCCCATTCTGTTTCCTGAGAGCAAGGGCTTTGGTTTAAAAAACGTACCTCTTTCTGTCTGTTTGCTTTTGGAATTAAAATATGAAAATCCACAGGGGGCTTGCAGGTTCCCACTGAGACCAATCGGCGACATTTTCAAACAGTGGATGAGCTGTTTGTCAACTATGTGTTCTGGAGCTGGAGACAGGGAAGGGTTTGGAGAGGCGCCGGCAGCCTCCAGCAGGGCCCTCGCCTGTGTCTGCAGATGGAGGCATTCCCTAGGTGGGGCTCCTGGGTGACTGCCAGCTCTGCTGGTATCTCTGGAGCTGAGTGTGTTCCAGAGCGTGTGTTCTCTGTGCACCCTGATCCTGACAGCAGTGGGGTGTGAGGCATTGGCTTCAGTTCTGGCCTGTGCTGGCCACATCCCTGACAGCTTGGGGGCTGCAGGAGTCTGTCCTGAAGGGCCTCCACTGGGTGCTTGGCCCACCCAGAGTCTCACGTGTGTCCAGTGTTGTTCACTGAGCTGCTTTGAAAAGGCAGGACAAAAATAAAAGGAGATCAGCAAAGAAATCCAGAAAGAGAAGTGAGGGCAAAGGCAGGGAGTGCAGGGGCAGAGATAGCATGCATTTCTGTGGACAGACCATGGGGGGTAGCTGAATTCGGCTATCACTGGGACTTTTCAGGAAGGGAAAGTGGGCTTCCTTATGCAGGAGCCCGCTATGTCCTTTAAACATAATGGGAGGAAAACTCAGGCTGTGGAGTGTTGGCACACTGTGTGGAATAGAATGGTACAGACCGCACATAAGAGACTGAGACATCCGTCACAGGAGGCATTCGAGCAAGGATAGAAGGAAGTCTGCCTGGGAGGGCACAGCAGGTGGGCTTCAAGGTGATCCTCAATGATCCCACTTCATGGAGCTCATGCCTTTGTGTAATGCCCTCCCCTTGAGTGTGGGCAAAGTCTAGCATCTGACCTATAGAACACAGCAAAGGAGAAGGGCTGTCACTCTATGCCTGTCACATTATGTTATATAAGACACTGTCTTGGGTGACAGGAACGAGTGATTCTCCTTGTAGATTTGATGAAGGAAGTGGCCCACGGGATGAAGTTGGAGAAGTCCACATGGTGGTTAGGAACTGCATCAGCCTCCAGGCCCTGGCAAGGGGCTCTCTCAATAGCCAACAGGAAGCCAGGGTCCTCAGTCATATGCCTGTAAGCAAATGAATTATACTAACAACACAAATTATCCCCAGATTCTTCCCCTATCAAGTCCCCAGATGAGAACACAGCCCGGTCCACTGTGATTGGTTGCAACCTTGTGAAATCCTGAGTAGAAGACCCAGTTAAGCCATGCCCAGACTCCTGACCCACAGAAGCTGTGAGATAAAAATGTGTTGTATCATTTTAGACGCATGTCTGTAGGGATATATTATGCAGTGATAGAACATGAGTCCACACACTGTGGGTGGGGCATTGCCAGCCTGTCTCTATCCTCCTGCTGGACTGATTTTTCGCAGTTACCTGATGCTACATAACAAATCACTTCAAATAAGTGGCTTGAAACAGCAGGAATCATTGATTACTCCTCACAGTTTCATGAGTAGGAATTGGAGAGTGGCTTGTCTGGACCTCCCTGCCACAAGGTCACTCCTGCAGCTGCAAACATGTCACCTGGGGAAGCAGTTATCTGAAAGCATGGCAGGGGTTCGAGGAGCCACTCACATAGTTGGCAGGCTCGTGCTGGCTGTTGGCTGGGGGGCCTCGGTTTCTCTCCACATGGGTCTCTCCTTGGGGCTGTTTGATTGTCCTCACAACATGGTACCTGGCTTCCCCTAGTGTAAGGATCCAGAGGACCAAGGAGGATGCTTCAAAGTCTTTCATGACTTAGCCTTGGAAGTCACACAGTGTCCCTTCCGCTGTATTTAGTTGGTCACACAGGCTCAGCCCCCATTCAGCAGGGAAGGGGACTGTACACAGGAGGGTGTGAACACCAGGAGGCAGGGAGCCCTGGAAGCTGGCTACTGTCCTGGTCTTCTTCCCCCCACAGGAACTCTGCCTGCTTTCTGTACTTCAGCCCTTGGCAAGGACCAGTCTCCCTTGCAGACCCTATCTCTCCTTCCTTCCCTCACTCTTCCAGCTCATCTCCAAGGTCTCAGCAGGGACCAGCCATAGCTTTGAGGGACCCAATACTTATATAATTTAGGGGGGCCCTTCAAGGTCAAAAGACAAAAATACCTTGCTTTTGCCAATTTTCCTAATCGCATGACTGTTACTAGAGCCCGTCCCAGGATTTTGGGAGGTGCCTGTGCAAACAAAAGGCCCAGAGGCTTCCACTTTACCAGGATCAGTGAATCCTGGTCACTTCCTCAGGGAGCTTGGCCTGGTCCCATACTGAGTAAACTCCATTGCTCTGTCTCCCACATGTCACCTGTACAATTAGATATTTAACATCGCTTTTGGCTACTAGGGACTCTTTTTATGTGCTTACAGTCAGATAGTGATCTAAATGCCATGAATACAAAAGAGGTCCTGGAATCTACATTCTAGTGGGGGGAGAGGAGCCAAAACATGTTACAAGAAAAAATGTTAAAAGGTGACTTCAGCTAGAGATGAATGTGAGGGAGAAAGTGAACCAGGGCATGAGAGAGCAAGGAATGCCAAGAATGAGGAGAGGGACCCAGCCGTGAGAAGGTCTGCAGGGAGAAGTGTTCCTGACAGAATAGCATGTGCAAATGGCCTGAGGCATAAATAAAGTCTGGGTGTTTAATACTGAGCAGAGAGGTCAGTGTGGCTGAAACATAATGACTAGGAGGAGGAAGGGGGTGATGAGGACAGAGAAGCAGGTGAAAGACAGACAAGGTAGAACTTTGCCAAATAAGCAAGATATCTGGGTCTTTTTTTTTTTTTTTTTTTTGAGTCAGAGTCTCACTCTGTCACCCAGGCTGGCACAATAACAGCTGTTACAGCCCAACCCATTAAGCTCAGATGATCCTTCCACCTCAGCCTTCCAAGTAGCTGGAATTACAGGTAATTCCACAGCCAGCTAATTTTTTAAAAAGTTTATTGTAGAGACAAGGTCCTGCCAAGTTACCCAGACTGGTCTTGATCTCTTGGGCTCAGGCAATCCTCTCACCTCTGCCCCCCAAAGTGCTGGGATTACACATGTGAGCCACCATGCGTGGCCTGGGTCTTATTTTAATTAAGGTGAAATTCACATACTATGAAAGCCACTCACAACTCACAATGTTGTGCAGCCATCACTTCTACCTAGTTCCAGGTTTCATTCTAAGCCAATATGACACCACTGGAGAATTCTGAGTGGATTCTTTGTGGTGCTAGCATGTGTTCATCCCAGAGGTTCCTGCTCTGAGGCTGCACCTGGGAAGGCAAGGTGTATTTCCACCAGAATTTCCCCAGACCACACCCTTCTTCCCTTTCTCAAAGCAAGACCAGCCTAACACATCGGCTTTCCTTTCCTCTCAAATGCTTCCTTCTCTGCTCTCAGAACAAACTAGCTCAGGGGTGGGGACAGCAGAGGATGGGGAAGAGAGAGGAAGACGGGCTTTTCATTTCCAGCTTCAAGTGGCAAAAGGCAAATTCATGTCTGCTGACGTGACTAGACCAGCAGCAGGGACCAAGACTGGTGACTAATGGGGTGATGGCTCCTGAGAGTTTGGGGTTCCTGTTTTTTTTTCCAAAACAGAGACAAGAGTCCCTGGCAGTGCTCAACCCTGCACTCCACTCAGGTGATGCACCTCAGGCTATGGCATGTAGACCACAGTGTTCATGGAAAAGATACTAACATGTCACAGACCACGACCTAAACTGCTCCCAGCAGCCTTGGAACCTCTGAACCATCAGCAGGGTCTCCAAGGTTCTGTTCTCTTATATGTGAGGGCTACATGTGCAGGCTGCCTGGGGTTGACTCCTGCCTCTGCCATTTGCCAGCCATGTGACCTTGGCAGGTGGTCTAACTTCCCCATGCCTCAGGCTTCTCACCAGGAAACAGGAACAGTAACAGCCCCAGTCTTGCAGGAAGGATGTGAGGATGAAATGAGGTGTAGTGGGAGCACAGTGGACACTTGTGAGAATAACAAGGTTACGTGGGCAGGCAGTAGCAGCTATGCCAGTGTTTACATTCCAAAAAAAAGGTGGGGGGCGGGGAGAAGAGTACAGGCAAGGTAGAACTAAGAATGTTACAGGAGTCTTGAGGCTGGAAATCTGGACATTTATTTGAAATCAAGAGATCTTTATAAAACTACTTGGCAGCTAGCTTAAATTTAGCTTTTAAAAATCTGTGGGCCAAACTAGACATTTCTCTGCCCAACTAGTGCTGGGGTTAACCTGGGCCTGGTATTGTTTCTACTCTAGCTGTAGAAGCCTACTGTTCTGAAATCTCCCGAGACACCACAACCCTCGAGGTTTCCATGAGCCTCCTGCCAGTGTCACCTGTGTCTACTGTGTGCTAAGCATGTCAAAATAAACTCATCAGAACCCTGAGAGGGAAGTATATGTGTGTACCATTGCACAGATGAGCAGACCGAGGTCTGGGAGATGACTCTTTTGTCCAGTCTCCTGGGCAGTGAGTTTCCAAGCAGGGATGTGAAGTGAGGCTTACCGGACTTCAGGGCTGCCAGTCCTAACCACTCCTTAGGCTGCCTGCTGCGTCTTCTGCCCACTCTCATGCCTTCCCAAATTGCTTTTCAGGCTCCAGGCAGGCTGGTCTGTCCACCCTGGTGGTCAGCCGGACAGGCAGAGGAAGCAGGAAGAGCTGACCGATGAGGAGAAGGAGATCATCAACAGGGTGATCGCTCGAGCAGAGAAGATGGAGGAGATGGAGCAGGAGCGAATTGGGTGAGGCCTGACACTTCCCATCCACCTGAGAGCACAGGAGGTTATGCTGGGGCCATCATTTGAGGCTTTCTGGGCCACCACCCAGGCAGACCTGGGATCCTTGTTGCAGGATGGGGGCAGAGCTGGGAGAAGAGAAAGGTGAATAGAGGAGAGAGTGGGCTGGGGGGATTCTGGGAGGGGGAATGTGCTGGAAAAGCGGAAGGGGAGGGATCTTATGAGGAAATGGAAGATTGTGATTGGCAGATGCAGGAGGTGGGGGTGGATGTGAACACAGGTGTCTCAGTCATTCCCAGCCGCATAGAGGTGCATTGTAGAGATAGAGGCCAGGTGGGAGCCAAAGATACCTCTGGAGGCGCAATTAGGAGGACAGAGTGAGTGAAAGAGACAATGTGCAAAAGAGAGAGCACATTTGAAATGAATTATACAAGAGAATTGGAGACACCGATCCCGTAAGACACAGACGGCGTGCCAGTGAGGCAGCAACGCTAACCCTGTGGGTCTGGGCTTGAAGAACCCAGGGTCCCACGGCGGCTCCCCACTTGCCTGCTGTGGCTCTTGGGCATGTCACTTGACCTCTCTGATCCCTGGTGTGTTTACTGGCAGAATGAGGGAAATAACAGTAATTGTCCCACAGGACGCTTTTAAGGACTGAGATGCACAGGACTGCCCCGGGGCTCTGGTGATACTACATGTTTAATAATGGTAGGAAGGAAGGAAAGGCGGGCTTTGGTGAGCAGGGATCGTGAAAATGTGTGAGAAAGCACGAGGCCGAGGGGCACCATGACAAGCAGGGACAGTGCCAGAAAATCAGGGAGTGTCATGTGAATGAGCTTGAAGGGTGGGGAGTGGGGAAAACACAGACAGTCATCAGGGTGGGAGGGGTGACTGTGAAGGAAGTGAGTGTGTGTTTGGGAACGCTTGGCATGGGTAGAAATGTAGCCCGTCAAGACATAGAGAGGCCAGCGGAGGGGTCCTCCCAGACATGATCTCTGATGGGAAATGGTGAGGGTGAGGGGATGCTGGGATGCCATCTCTACCCGGGCCCTTCTGCCAAGGGAAGCCATTGCCAGCTGCTCACAACTGACTTGGGTACCAGGGTGCCTGCTGATCGCCCTGCCCATGCACTCAGCTGGAGGTTAACGAGGCTCTCGATGGAAAATGATGTTCTGGAGATGCAGGAAGCAGGCGCCTTTGATTTGAGCCTCTGCAGATAATTGCACTCAGGGCAGACTGGGGAGATCAGAGATGCTGTTGACAAGTGACAAACACCTGACACAGGATGCGTCAGTTTTAGCTTGTCTCTTTCTCGGGTGGGCGCCAAAGGGCCACGTGGCTCTGAGGCACTTGCTTATAGAATTGAGTTGTAATTTTACTTTTAAAAAGGTATTTCAGGAGTGGGAAGTTTTCCAGGCTGGTGATATGTAGGCGTGTGTGTGTGTGTGTGTGTGTGTGTGTGTGTGTGTGTGTGTGTTCCCGTCATACATGGATGGGTCTCAGCCATGAGAGAAAGCAGAATATGAACACGGAGGGTAAGCAGAG